AATGTAAGTAAACAAATCGATTTGAAGACGGCACTAGTGAATCGAAGCGAGAGGTAACTTAGTTTCTCCACCGGGGTTGAAAACATACGTGCGCAAAGTTACAGTTTACACGGTTCAAGCACATTGCCTCTAAGGGTTACAGCTACCGGTTTTCCGTGCGATCGGCGTGTTCGCGTTTCTTTCAAGATTGGAGCTCGCACGCCCGCGTACGCGAACATCATGGCCGACCGCCTTAGTCTTGGAGTAGCTTATACAGGGCACACAATATACACAATATACACACGTACAATTTTTCTGCTTTATTATACAGAGATGTAAAGTGAAAACTTCAGCGGAGCAATGTACCTGTCTATAAAGAACAACGAGCAGAGCACAACTCAAGGAAAGGTGATTTGCAATTTGGTCGGGGTTGTTCCTTATATAATTGCATCATTTATACAGGGTAATGCAGTAATCGCTGATGTCGATGAGAAACAAGATAGCAGTTCGCGAACAGAAAGAGCAGCGTGGGTTATAAATTACTTTGGGCGTCGTCAAAGCTTACCAATGAATATGTTGTCAGTATGATTTGTCCTTACGTAAACGAGGAATTATCATGCTTGACAACATATTATCTATTTTTGTAGGTCTTTTATGTGTCCGGAATCTTTCGTTTCCGAAAGTCTAAGAAAGTGGAAACATACTTAGAAATGAGATAAAAGGGTTAAATACACATGTTTGTCTGTTTTTCGTTAGTATGAGATTTTGTAATCGTTTGAAACTTCTGGGACAACCTCAATAAATTCTCCACTCGCAGGAGCTTTCTTGCTGCGATGCTCTGTGGATCGCTGTTCGGATCGATGTGGACACCGATAAGCTACATGAAGGTTGGCCTAGGCAGCGTTATAAGCCCTATTATTACCTTCGCTGAAATTTTTTTAGAGTCATCCGGACAAATTTCCCATGTCTCCTGCAGATGGCATCTCTTACATATTTGCATTTTACTGCGGCGGGCTTTGCATGGGTGTATTCATCTTCATCATTTACAGTGTAGTAAAGTAAAGTCCTCTTCGTACTATCATACAATCCGGGATAAATATTTCTTCAGGAAGAACAGACCGTGGATTAATCCAAGCGGTGCTGTTCCTACAATGCTTGGTGGTGTCATATTTGCTTGTGGAATGAGTGCATTTGTCATTGCCATCGATAATCTGGATCAATCAATCGCATATCCGATTTGTGCAATGGCGCCAAGCCTCGTTGTTCTCAGTTGGAGCATCCTTTACTTCAAAGAAATTACGGTATTGCACCTAAGACATGACCCGTAACAATCTTTCAAATTTTAGGGTCGACGAAATTTGATGTGGTTGGCGAGTGCATACGGGTTTACTCTTGTAGGAGTAATGATCATCACGCTTTCGAAAGAATACTCCCTCATTTAAGTTTTGTTATGAGTATCATGAGTACCATAGCCAACTCAAGTAACCGATATTTTGTAAATCAATCAGTTCGGAAGTATAAAGAGTTACAACACGAGTGATTGCTTCAAGTGGAAAAAGAGTGC